GGTCAATATTTTGACCAATTTTCTTTCAAAGTCAGGACTTGTGATAGGGAGTAGGTATGTGTCCGTACAGGAGTGATACTTAACTGTTTGGTAGAAAGTTGGTCAAGGAATTGACTTTACTTTTCTCTTTGTCGAGTTGTGGCTTCATGCTAAGACTGACAAGAGTCACTGTCGATGTCGGTGAAACGTCTGGGAATGTATCTAGTCCACCGTCCAATGCCGGGAAGTATCATAACTATTATAGCGGGGGATGTCGGACAAAGTGTATCCAACCTGACCCCCATGACAACACGACTAAGTAGCGAAAACGAACTTAGACTACTCCTATACATCCAAAGTAAACTGTGACCAAAACGGAAGCCACAACATCTCGGGCTTCATTTATTCATTTTTTATCTTTTTTGTTTTAGCTACATACCTTATGGCCTACTTGAAAGGCCTCCACAAATGGTTAATGAGCGCCCGCCTCCTTATTTCGGACGAGATGACCTTGAAACTATGATGGGCAGTCAAAATTGTATAGATTGGATTCGAATCAGGTGAGTTGAGTTCAGACCAGTCTCTCATCCATTGATTCCTCCCCTAACCCAAAATAAAATCTTCTTTTAACTTTATCATTTTATTAGATGATTTTACTTTTTCGCACTTTTCACTATTTTATTATCTCCAGAAGCACGGGACATCAACCTTAAGATGCGTTTGCATGGATCTGTGATCTGAGATTAGATTATTTTATGTTTTAATATAATATTATTCTTCCAAATGATTTACCAGCTCTCGGATATGCACTAGATTTAGCAAAACTCAAACACACTAGTGTTCCGAAGGGGCCTCTAAATTATAAAATGCTTACCTTCCACAACTGCAAATTTGGAAGCTCCGAAACTAAGGGAAACCAAGTGTCCTATTTTGAAACGGCTGAATACAGTATGGGGGGCTGACAATAGAAAGGCATTCATTGAAAGGTAGCACGAAATATACAAATCTAAACTCCGCGGGTTACATCAGAGAAGAGAAAGAGAAAAAAGAAAACGTTACCTAAACATGATGTTGTCTACTTCATATACCCTTGCGCAGTTTTCCAAGTCAACTTCTGATTAGCCGATGTGGTGCCAAGCTTTGATTGGTTGACGCGAAATAAAGAGTGATGATTAGTCACGCACTTACGTGATCTCTGCGCCCTAGGCTGTTGAGCCATAGCAACGTATGGCATGTAATAAAACAAAACATTGAATGGGAAAAGTGTGGGGATAGGTCACTACTACTTAAGGATTAAATGTCCCAAAATCATTTGTTGCAGAGTCGTTTCCTTGTTTCTCTTCATGGATAAGATTTATTCTGATCCTCTCTAAATTAATGCTTTGACCCCCTCCTGGCCTTATTCTCCTTCATTTATTCTGTATCATTACATATCCTAGCACTAAACTGAGTTCATGGCGATCCAAACACCAGCTTAAACAGTTTTTTCTGGGATTCTTCAGGAGTAGTAATAGCACTGCTCTTTTACCAGGACAACCATCTGGTGGTGATAGTATATTTACCGCCTTTGACTAGATCCTTTATTACAAAAACTTTGATTAGCAGGATAGAAATTAACATGCCTTCTCACTAAACGTCGCCACTAAATATTATTTTTCTATCTGTACCCGAAACCAAATTCAAAGTCTTGTAGATTTCATAACCTTGCCACCCAATCCTCATATTTATGTACAATCATGTTGGATTCTGTCTCCTAAGAACTTACTCCTTAAAGTGCTTGGACTCGTTATGTATTTTTGCAAAGAAGGAAACAAAATTCCAGTTAAAATTATTTATCTAATTCTGGTAGTCTCGAAAGCCTATTTATAATAGGCAAATCTTCAGGTGTTATTTTGCAGAAAGTATAGATCAAGATAACTACTTGGCAAAATGAATTACTGCCAAAACCCTTAATAAGGGAACAACTTTTTTTGACCTATTTTATTATATGCTTATACCAATTTAGATACCTAAGAGATGCAAAATTTAACTTTAGTTGTGCAGATAAAGCTTCAAATGATCCTACTCCCTTTTGGCGAGTTATACCTTGAGTCCTGTCCTAAAACTGTTAAGAAAGACAAACAACTGTTGGATATAGTGTTGAAGTTGTATAGAAATCAGAGTGTGTATAGAGCTAGTTGGTTGTAATGTAGATGTAATGTGGTGTAACTTTTGTGATTACCGCGATAAGGTTGTATGAATGGAGCGCTAAAAAACGCTCGTTTTATTCATAGAGCGATAGCAGGCCCTATTGACGATAAGATCAAACGAACGTCGAGACTTTCCACATGCGGATTTATGTGGCTAGCAGGTATAGCGAGAGCTTGCGACGCGAGATGGCGAAAGTCACTCATTGCAAGGAAGACATATTCCTGGACATGTCATGGCGTCAAGAGTTATTCCTGCTTGTCTAGTTTTTATATCGGCCTCTGATTGAGAGGTTACGGCCTGATAAGTTTAAGAGTCGGCTCAGTACAGTAGCAGGATTTGTTTGATCGGCTTTGTGTAAAGCGAGCGCTTATCGATAGATGCGAACTTAGTGTAGCGAAGGTAATCGTTGTAGCAGGAAAGCGTAGTGATAGTTCACTGCAAGCCCATTTCTGAAGTTAATCGTGATTTGGTTTTATGGAAGTTGTCCTTCAAGTTTTATGTTGCTTGAGCAAGTACTTAACGCATTTATCATGAATATTTAAATAGAGGAACCGGTTTTCGTACTGCTTCTATCCGACATAACCAAAATTTTACTAAGGATGCTTAATAAGGTTTCATTTTATTGGCTGGAAACGTTGCTAAATCATATTCCATATTATTAATCTATGCATAAGATTTATATAGCATTTATTACGTGCATTGTCGTGACTATTAGCAGTCTTTTTGTAATCCATATGTATCAATTCGTGTTGTTATTATGGAAAATATTAGTTATTGTATTGTGTATTACTGAAATGAAGGCCTGATTTTGCGGTGTTGCTCGTCAGTATCATAGTAATTTATATCATAATGGCGCTAATAAACTTAATGGAAAGACTTCCACGGGAGATTTAAAATTAACTAATACCATAGGTTACTACTTTAATATTATTTTTTAGGAGGCCTGAATGGTTCTTTCAATTAAATTACAGATAAAGCTAGACGCAATGA